CTAGGGTTTGGAAATCGGAGAGAGCGGCGGAGAGAGAGAGAAGAGCGAGAAGGGAGAAGATAAAGGGAAATGCAGTGTGTTTTGCCTCCATTTTAGAGAGAGAGAGAGAGGTACATGTTCATGTTCATTGTTCATGTTGTGCAGATGTGAGAGAGTATAAATAAAGAACAAAGGTATAGGGAATTAAAGTGAAAGCTGATTTTTTTGGGAGTGGAGTTATCAATTTTTCCAATTGTTTAATATTTATTGCATATTTCATGATACCATACAATTTCTTTTTCAAATTACATAATTTGAATTTTTAAATTTTGGAGGGGATTCGAACCTCCAACTTTCTTTCGTGGAAAAAATATATCTTAAGGTGAGTGTTTGGAGATCAATCTAACTGGTTGTGTCCTATTTGGAGATCAATCTAACTGGTTGGTTCCAAATAGGACACGAAAGGATAATGAACAAAGAAGGATGAGACATTGGTGAGGTGTTAGCCCGTTGCACTCTGATATTGTAGTTGGAATTCGAGTTTAGAATTTATCAGAGTAGAGAGGAATGAAGTGAGATCGAGTCCTTTTAAGGTTGGGACGCTAGTCTACATTCGTGCGGGTTCAACTTCTTGGAAGTGCCAGCCTAATTGTAGGCTCGTGTGGTAGTTGGGAGGCTAGTATACAAGAGTCGGATCTCCTCATTTGCCATTCTCTTGGCAAGATCGGCTCTAACGATCGAGCTGCCAATGTACCTATCACGAGTGCCGCCAGGTGGGGTGACAATGAGTCATGCTTCCAAGCTCAGCACAAACTTGGGTTGGGCTCGCTCCTCTAAATCAGGTGCAAACGGATTCCATCTTTAGGTCGGACACATTCTCGATTTTATTCCCCAACATCTTATATGTTGGGATTGGCGATTAATCATATTCTTTTAACTTTAGAACAATATGTATGGATTGACGATTAATCATATTCTTTTGACTTTAGAACAATATGTATATCAAACATGTTAATGTTCAAATTTTAGTTATAACTCCGTTGTTAAGATATGTTTTCTTGTTCAAGATTGTAATAGGGGAGTATCTCACTCTCATCTGCATTATCTACATTGTGTCAACTAGTAAGAAACTAACAGTAATCATAAATTGAGATCATTTAAAGATATAATTGAAATTTTTTGAAGTTTATGAATTAAATAGATCTATTATTCCAATGACGAGAACAGATATATAATTAAACTTTATTCTATTAATAAATTAAACTTTTATTTTAGAACTTAGTATTTTTTTTATAAATAACTCCTARCTGAACTATCAATTAAGATACCGAAAAAATTTTAAATTTGAACCTAATTCATTTAGGTCCATCATAATCAATAAATCGTAATGAAAACTTTGATTTGATGGAGTTTACCAAATTATAAGAATGTAATCAAATGGTGGGACTCACTTCAAACTTTTTAATCTAATTCCATTACACTCCTACAAC